CCTGTGTCTCTGTGCACTCTTACATGTGCCATGGGAAAAACACTGGGGGAAAGGAGGTCTGTGCACATTCTTCTCTATACATCCTCCACTTCAGTAAGCCTATAAAAGCAAACAAAGCTAACCCCTGACTGCACTGACTGCCCTTGTCCAGGTTCTTCCCTGTGTATGCACAGGGCAGAAGACAGACAGGTTTTGCTGATGTGGCCTTACTGACCAGGTGTCAGTCCTGCTGTTCTTTGTGTCACAGGTACTGAGGACCTGAGGATGTTGGGACACTTGAAAATTTTCATTACACTCTAAAGAAAAGATCTCTCCCACTACCTGTGCACCTTGAAGGGTCAAGTAGGTGATGTTAAGGACTTGAAACTGTCTGTGTGCTTATAATCCATACTTTGTATGAACTCCTTTTACAATCTGTTCAGTAGTTGCTTCACTGAAGGTCTTTCGGTTCTTCGGGAAAGTACCCAGAAAAAGTTATAAATTCCTGGTCAGAATAACTGTTTAATACTTTAGATACCAGAAATTCAATCAAAGCAAGGAAAAGTACTGAAGGAAATAATTGAGAGAAGTGTAATAGGAAGCTGTAATGAGTGCAACTGAATTTCAATTTGCTTGTAGTGTGACGCATTCTTTCTTTTCCATCTCAAAATATTTATGGTCATAGGAAGCATTCTGGATAAGGAATCTGTTATGCACATGCAAACTTTGGTTATAAAGTTACTTGGAAGTTGAATCTTAAAATTGAGGGGAGGAAAAAAGTCGAAGAAACAAAAGTTTGAATGTAGAATTTTAGCCTTTATTTTGTGCTTTGTCTCAGGGATACATTTTCACTTTGATACATTTCACTACATATGTTTAAATTATTGTGCTGTTATTGCACAAGAAATGTGGAAAATAACATGACAAATGAAGAGGGAAACTACTGTGTCTCTGTTCCATGCCCAAAGGAAACATTCCCCCCTTCTTCTCACCCTTGCTCCTCTCATTCTGTTTTAATGGTAGACTTGAAGTTTTGAAGATTCCTGAACCTCTTGCATTTACAGTGTGATCCAGAATAAAGCCTCTGGCTCTTTTGGTTTAAAAAGCACCTTGCCAGAGCCCCAGGTGTATTTTTCCCTCCTCCCATTGCTACATTTAAGGTCCCTGCATTGCAGCCATGCCCATGCCTGGCTGTGTACCCCGATGATCAGCCGGATCATGGCTTTGACCTGTAGACTTGACTTTCTGGCTTGATTTCAGGCCTGCCTTATTGCTGTGGACTTCCCTGGTGACCTGTGCTTGTGCTTGACCCTGGTGACTCTCTGCAGATCTGATCCTGACCCTTACCTGCTGGTTCAGGTAAGCTTACCTGCTTGACCTTGGGCTTTCCTGTCTGAGGATCTGAACTGTGCCCAAACGTGGCCACCATCACTGGACCTGGTCTGCTCACTTTTGCCAGGTCTGGTGGGACTGCAGTGCTGTCAGTGAGGGCATGACCCTGCCTGCCTCCCTGTGTAGCCCAGATCCCAACTCATCCTTCCAGGCACAGCAGTCTGCTCGTGCTGCTCCCTGGCACTGTCCTGCTCTGTGCCAAGCAGTCATGGGGCTACAACAACCTACTGCATTGACCTAGATCAAACTAAAACACACTGAATACCATCAAAATCACAGCTATGTCCAGGACTTGGTCATTTCTAAATAAAATTAAAAAAAAAAATATCAAATAAGGTATCAAAGAATCCTCAGGTATTTATGGGGCTTATGTGCATAATTATATTAGCACTGTTTTCTGGTAGCACTGCCCTCCATTTCTTGTCTTAGCATTTTGATTCCTATTTCTATTAGCTGTTTTTCACAGCAGTCACAGTCATTCTGATGCTCTCAAGCTTAATGTTCTTCTAGACTTCAGTTTTCCTCTTCCTTCCTTAGGTGCCACACTTCTGGTGCTTCAGCTCAGTCAGATCCAGTGACTCTGGAGAGACCCTTCAGTGCTCACGCTGTACTGCAGGTGCTGTTTCTGGCTTCTGCCTTCTAGCTAGAAATCCCAGTATGTAACTAAATTTTCAAAATGCCTTCAATATGTCTGATAATGTATCCTTAACATGAAAACAATCCTCTGTGACTTTTATAAAGGAGCTGTCCCCATGGGAAAACATTCAAGTCAAATTTCTAATAATTTGATGACAGTAGTATGTTACATAGATGTCCCTTCTTTGTATATCTCCTTTACATGCTCAAACCCCTTCAATAGGTGGGAAAGTCTAATTCCATGTTTTTCTTTCTTTGTCAGTTACCGAATGGAATGTGAACTGCTAATGATGTTTTACATTGTGTTTATAAAATATGTTATTAATATGTAATGTTACAGTAAAATAGAAATGAAAAAGTCAAAGCCAGAAGAGAATGTTTGGCTGACCTTTTAAGAAATGTTTTTGATTGATGCAATATAGGACACTGTAATCTATGGCTGGCTTTGGGGGCCTGGCCCCGAACAGTGCTTGTGTGAGGGAAAGGAGGGGGGAATTGTTTTCCCTGGAAGTGATGCAGCAGCATCCAAATTCGGTGCAGCTGGAATTTTGGTTCAGTGCTTTGAAGTGGGATGAGACACTTCCAGTAGATTGTCATCCTCTCTGTATTTCATGAATCACCCAAAGCTGCATGCTGTGCCATCTGCTAACAGTTTGAAGCCACCAAATCCCCATTAGCAGTATTGTCTGGGTTGCTTCACAAAAGGCTGACTAAGTGTGCCTGGAGCTTGACACAGTCTCAGGATACCAAAAATGGTAAAAGTTGTGACCACCCGAGAGGAAGGCAGGTGTCTCTGAAAGGGCCTAATGCTTTGTAGAGATTGGATGCCCTCCTGTCTTGAGAAGTTCGAAATGCTTCTATACAAGATGACGCTGGAATCGAAACCGCTTGAAGAGTTTATGAAAAACTGAAAACAAAGAGCTAAAAAATGAAGCTCAGTATGAACAAAGAGTACTCAGACTGGGAAAACAAGAAAAGTGGCCTTTTCTCTCACACAGACAACTGCTTGGCACCTTTTGCAGAAGTGGAAGAGACTTAAAAACAAATGAGAAGGACAAGAATTTATGCAGTGCTGGAACTACTTGTTTTTCATGTTAGATGGAGCTCTACTGAAGTAATATTTGCAGTATCCTGCAGTATTTGCATCAGGATAATTGCATCATACAATCTGCCATCATTCTTTCCAAAACAAATGAGTACAACTAGATATACAAGATACACAAGAGATAAGGAAGATAGTCTTGTCCAAGAAAATATCCCGAGACTTTGGTTCTCAAAAATCTGAGGCAGGAATTGGGACATCTGTAAAGAAGGTGGAAGAAACACTTGAAAATATGCATTGATTGGGTGGGAGAGCAGGGGAAGTGAAGATCCTGGTTTCTTTGTGTGCCTCTTTCTCCACTGAGCTAAATTCAGTGAATTCTGTCTACCACATGGTTTATTACATATACAAACACAATGTGCAGGAAATAAAGTTTATAGTTCTCAACTGCAGTAATGTCTTAATGACTGCATCACAGCAGACACAGTGGGTACATTGTATGCTCCAGGTTCTGTTCTAGATAGACTGAATTTACAGTCCTCATATCTTGGTAAATATAATCCCTTGCTAAATGTCAAAAGGTTAACTCTAAAGACAGTCACCTTCACTGTGATGAAGCCAAAGTCCAGATCTTTGTTCTGATGTAAAGGCTGGCTTTGTCCATATAAAATAATTTTGAAGTCATACATCCATATACTATCTCCCCCTGCCCAAAAAAAAAGAAATATTTAGTAGAAAAATTAAACAGCATGTCAGATGCATCAGCCATTCCACTGGAGAGAAAAACTAATGTGGACTAACATTTTTAAAAAGATGAGCCATGTTAATCTGTTATGTTTTGTGTGTTTCAGATAGTTTTTGGACTAACATACATATGGGGAAGTTTTTAATTTTGACAATGTCATGATAAGTAGTGGAGCTTGAGAGCTTCGTGAGTGTTTTAGATGCTGTCACAAGCTATTTGAAACTTTTTTTTTTTTTTTAGTGTATAAAGAATTTTTTTTTCCAGCATTTGACTGATTCCTAGTTCTGAAAGTGTTTATGTGCCAGTGAAGAGTCCTACCAAAGTCAGGTTTCTTATATAAATAATTTCTGTACACATGTAGGAAAGTTCATGCCTGTGTATATAATTTATGTACTTGATTAGTTCCTGTCTTTGAGGAACTACTTGCTGTATTTCTAAGTAGTTTTCAAATATGAGATCCTAGTGTTTAACTGCAGTAGATAAGAAATATCTCCAATGTTTTCTTTCACACTTAAGTAAAACTAAGTTTGGAACAGCCCTGAGAGAGTGATGAATTAAAAGTGAGATGTTTAATTTAGACTGGGCTTCAATTCATATTGTTCTTAGTCCATTATTTATAAGAGGTTTTATGCTTTACTGTAAATGCTCAGTGTTTGAGGTCACCATTTCTTTCTGCTAAACCATGTTGAACTTTAATGGAACAATTAAAGTAAAAAATCTTCTATGTACTGTTCCCATTCTTCATGTTTATATAAACTTATCTTTATTCTTTGTTACTTTTTAAATTACTTTCCTGACCTTTTTGCTTTTGCAATGGTCAAGCAAAATATATAAATTTTACAAGTTCACATAGAGGTTGAAGAAAAACAGTTGAATAATATTTATAGGTGCAAAGACCACTTCGAAATTACAAAATATTAAAGTAGTTGGCTTTGCATGAGGTACTAATTAATTAATCTAGTCCTAATCTGTGCTTTTGTATTTTTATTTCTTACAGGATAAAGCATTAAGGCATAGTTTTACTTTTTTCTGTGTGATGCACCAGTGCATGAGTAGCACATACAGAGTTAATAAAACATAAACACTAACATGCTTTGCTTTGCTGTTAAAACTACCTCAGGATTTACCAAATAATCCAACTGTTTTTGTGTCTCAAGGATACGATGTGTAAGCCCAAGTCAAGATGAGACATGCTTTTCTTTGGGAGCTACAATTACTGTTGATGGATGCCAGCTAGATTTATTGACTGATTCTTTTTATCTTTTAGATCACATCACAGCCTTAATGATGTCTGCCACGTTCAGAAAGGCTTGTGACATTGATGGTAGAGGAACTGGTCAGCTGGGATATTTTATTTTGCAAAGATAATGCACATCAGGCACTTGGGAGGATGAGCTTGCTGCAGATGAGACACTTTCCGCCTAAGCCAGGCAGGGGGAGCACCAAGTCTGGATATCCTCCTGCAGTGGAGCCACTTCTGCTTTACAAGTGCCTTCAGAATACCCTGACTTCAGTGAATATTTTGTCCTAAACTCTGGAAAAAACACAGCTGATAGCATGGGATCAGCTGTTTGCTGTTTATGTTTCCAGGCTGTATCTGCATAGTCTAAGTTGACTGCAGTATAACTGTAATTTATTATGGTTAATTGGAGTGAAAATGCAGAAACTGGAGCCAGCAGAAACTGATGTAGAAAGCCCTTTGCTACTCAGAGAGGGAACAGTGTTTCTGCATTTTTTATTGTGTTCTTATTTTCTGCCTTTATCCAGATTAAGGTACATCTGCCCCTACTGTTATGTTGCACCCAGTGGTCTTGCTGTGGAAAGAGGAGAGGATTTTTGCTTTCCTCCTTGGGGAATGCCTTAACCATGAGAAGGTTATGGAGCAGGTAAGCACTATCACTGCTCTTTTCCTCTGCACATCTTTAAAAGAAAAGCGTTAATCCCGTTCTTTGGAAAGGAAATTGTGGGAATGTGTTTATCAGGTGTGCACTGGACTCTGCCCACGACATCACCCTTTGTCCTCCAGAGCTCAGTGTCCTGTGCTGGCAGAGGGCACAGGGGGAGGATTTGCAGTGGCATTGATTACATTGAGTGTTTGCTACAGAGCAGTCGTAGGAGTTCCCATCTTCCTGGCTGTTTTGGACACTAAGTTCCCTCTCAGTGTTGTAGTAGTGAACACACTTCCCTGGAGTTTAGAGACCATCTGACTAAAAGATACAGACCTAAATTCTCTGATTCTTTAATGGAGTCGGATGCCAAGCGTTTCTGTGAAAATCTTCTTTGGCAATGTGTATTTTACATGACATGCCACTTTTGGAACAGTATCTTTGTATTAGCAGCAGTGAGGAGAATCACAGCATGTCCACATATGACTGGTTGGGGGTAAAGTAGGGACTGCCCTCAACTGCTGTTCAGTTTTTGCTGCCTTCTTGGCTTGATATTTTCACACCCAGTCACCATAAAGCACTGCTGTAGCGTGTTAGATTTGCCTGTTCTAGGCTAGATGAGGCTGAATGGTGTTTATAATTGCCTTGTAATTTACACAGTCTAGCATGATTTGGCTTGATGCATACAGTGTTAAAAATAGCTTTGTAATACAAGTCAAGCAAATCATAATAAGCAAGTTGCTGGCAATAGTCCTTCTGGTGTAGAGAAGTCTTACATTCACTGATCAGGAGTGTACATAAATTTAATCACAAGCTCCTAGAGGTTAATATTAACTCAATTAACTGAAATCACTTTATATCATATTTTGGAAATTCATTAATTAAGGAAGTTTGTGCTTATGTTCAGTTGCATCAATTGTTTTATGATCCATTTTGTTCGCATCTCTCTCTCTTCAAGTCCTTGGCACCTACTGATTTTTAAAGAAAGCAGTCATGCCTATAGTTAAAAAAGTCTAAATTCTTAACAGGACTGAAAAAAAACCTGTAGCAGCACCCCTTTTTGCCTCGAGATGTTCTGGTTTTCTTTGGGCTTTTTAATGAAGTTTTCTCTGGATTTTTTTATTTTATTTTTGTTTGGTGGATTATATATCAACTTCACAAGCAGACATGTTGCATTTTATGTTCTTAAGTAATCATGGTGGTGTCTTTACATAGATAGAAGCTGGCCTGAAGTTACCTTGGTGGGCATTTTGATGAAATAATTTTTTTGCTCATTAAACTGCAATTTGCATTTAAAATCCTGCATGAATAATGATGTGATTTTGGTATGTTATCACTTATGGAAGGTTTTTCTGTCATAAAAAAGAAAGAGAAAGAAAATAATAATAATAGAAAAAGAAAAGAATTATGTGTAGTTTCCTGGCTGAATAAGTTATCTACTGTCACAGTAAACCAGTAAAACATTCTTGCTTGTCAGTCACTGCTTTTGAACCCCTGTATGTCCACCAAACATGATCTTTTATTATTTCATAGCTCTTTTGAACAGAATAATGTCAATCCTTACTGTATCTGCCAAAAACCTGTCATGATAACTTCTGATTTTTATTTCATTTCAGCAGGAATAAAATTATCTGAGTCATAGACCTATGCAATGTTTTGATTTGGAAATATCAGTTAGCCCCTTTCTGAAAAGACAGGAAAAGAGTATTTTTTAAAGTTTAATTTGAATAGGTACATTCAAAAGTAACCCTTAGGCTGGAGCTGAGAGTGCAGTGGAGCCTCTGAAAGGCTCTAGTTAAGGCCTAATGGATACAGTAAAAAAGACAGAATCTAAAGCAGAAAAAGTTAACAATAGAGTGCAAGAATCTCAGATGGCACTAGAGTTTGTCTCCTCTGAACTAGGTGACACGAAATCAGTCTGCAGCAGCACTAGTTCCCATGTGTTTATATAATTGTGGGAATAAAATCTAATGAAGCCCTTTAAAGCAAAATTTTAGCATTTGTTATTGGTTTTAGTTTCCTCCCATTGCCATTTTGGGTCAACACATTCAGACAGAAGAAGAGCAGAAGCAGTTCTGGTATGAATATTAGTATTGCATATTCCTATTTAATACATGAAATGTGGGAGTGGGAATATTCCTCTTGTATATGTAGGTGTGAGTTATGCTTTCTTTAAATTCTTTTCTTTAAAACCAGTTTTGACTGTTACATGTGCTTGCATGTCAGCATTAGTTTGTGTAAATTAAACTTCAGGTGCATAAAGACAATGACAGCTGCAGAGAGATGCTCCCTTCTCTTTTTCTAATCTTAGCTTTGATCTTTAAAAAAAAAATCCTGGAAGTTAAAATTCAAATATTTTCACTAGGGTGTCAGAAAGAAGAAACAAACAGAAGAACAAGAGAAGTCCTGCCTCTTTCTTTCATCCCAAACCTTGCCTAAAAACCTGAAGGTGCTACTCACAGTATTACCAAGTTATCCTACTACAAAGGACTGCTCAGGATTTATAATATTAGTTCCCTAAAAACGTAGGCTGTGTTTGATTTTTTTATTTATTTATTTTTTTAGTGCTGGCTTCACTCACTTACTAAGGATCTTTTCTATTTATACAGTACATGTTAGATAAAGAAACTATATACTTATGTTAGATATGCCTCCCATTCTGTTACAACTAGATTACTTTTTTTAAGTACTGCTAGAGCAGAACATCAGGAGCAGTCAGTGTCTCGTTCTTGTTCTTCAAATGTGTTGTTGTTAGAAACTGCATCTAATCTAAATATCCATCCTCAGCCCACCCTTCCAGAGCTGTCCATAACAGGGCACAGTTTTCCAGTTCCTTCAGTTTTAAAAGGGAATGGTAAAATCCCTTGCACGCGACTCACCACGCTATGACCTGATGGCAGTGTTTGTTTCCTGTTTCATAGTAGGGGCTGGCAGCTGGGAGAAAGTAAACCTGAGCAAAGAGAGAAGACCTGTATGTCTTGAAAAAGTAACTGTAACCTATTTTTATCTTTTTCCTACTGTCAGAAGGATGTAGGCCTGTATGAATAGGGCCTGCACAGATTCTGGCATAGATGCATTGCATTCAATGGGGATATTGGAACTTTTACCCCTTAGTCCAGAACTTACTCTACTGAATTTCACAGAACTGAGTAAATTGGCTGAATTCAACAGCTCCCGAAAGGAAATGTGTAGAGCATCTTTTTATGCACGAGGGCAGAAAACCTTTTTATGGATTGCTGCCTTTGCCTTGCAGGTGGCTGCAGTATTGCACCCAGGGCATCTCCGGGAAATGTGGATCTTGCTGTTGATAGAGGTGGTGTTGTGGCTGCTCAGCAACAAACCACAGGAGAACAAGTCCTGGCATAAATAATAACAGCAGCTCTGATTCTGCAGGGGGTGAAGCTGATGAGTGGTGTTTTGTCCTTGGCATCAGATATGGGCTTTCTCTTGTTGCACCAGACATAGATTCTTTCGACCAGAGACCCCCAGAGTGTGTTTTGCAGCATGAGCCTTCTGTGGCCCTGCTGCTGGCACGGAGGAGAGCAGTTTCCCAGTTTTCTTGGACACTCTGATCAGCTTTTCAGTGTGCTTTCTGACACAGCTCCAGTGTACTGCCTTGTGGTGGTGTCTGCTTCTATCCAGAGACTTCTCTCGGGAAATAGCTGAGCTAATTTTAGAAGCAAAAACAGTCAAAAGAGGCCCATTTCAAATGCAGCCAGAGTACCTCTTGTCTAATCAGTTATGAAATCTGATTGATGCTAAAGCCTTTTCTTAGCAGAATGTTTATTAATCTTGAAGGGGGTGGGGAGAAAAACAACACAAGAGATCTTTTACGAGGCAGACATAAATGAACAGAAGCTCTTTAAATATGAACTTGTGGGAACTGAGAGATTGATGCAATACATCACAGGGACAGAAAGGCCAGACGACAGCTTTCTGAGTACATGTTGGCATAAAATCAGATAGAGAGAAAAGAAACTATGGTACTTTTTGCCTGACATGACCTGAGGAAAATTACTGGCCGTTGTGTGGCTCTTGCATCGTTGTCTCGGGCATATCATGTTCTGTAGTGATTAAAATACAACTTCTGGTGACAGCAGGAACCCAAATGCCCTCCTGAATTGTGCAAAAAGTGCGACAGTTGTTCCTTCAGCCCAGGTCATGTTTCAGTATGTGCTTCAGCAACTGCTTTTTATTCCGTTTGATTCCTATATCATTGTTCTGAATGAAAACAGAGGAAACACAAAATCTTAGGGCAATATTCTGTTTATAAGAGGAAAGGTCACCTGTTGTCAGGGTCTGTGAATATTGCATGGATTTACACTGTTCCAGGAAGGCAGGGAAGACAAAATCGAAATCAAGCATATTTTTAAATCTTTCATCTAAGCTCTCTTTTACTGCTCTTTTTCAAGTTGTGCTGCAGAATGAACAGCTTCAGGAGAATATGTTTTGCACCATGAGTAGAACTAGTGTTATTTCCATAGCAGGGCTACTGTTGAAGACTCTTTTCTTATACTGACTACAAGAGGCTGGGAGATGAAGAAAGTCCTGAAGAGAGGGCATCTGTCATCCATTTTCTGGTGTTTGCTCCTGAATAGACCTTTACCATGTTCCATTTCACACAGGTAGGGGTTTTTTGCACTGAGTATTTTGTCCTATTTGAGTCTCACATAGCTGTTACTAGACTTTAAAATGTTACTTAGATGCAGGCGTGAGAAAGAGACTTTAACCTAAATAAAGTAGGCTTGAAACTAATGTATCTGAATCCAGCTTTAAACACTCCCATTTTGGGCTGCGCAAGTTAAAAGGTGCCACATTATTTGGAACTGTACATACATTTCTCCTCTGACTGATACATGCAAAACAACTAATTCCCTCTTATTTTTTGCTGAGATGATGCTTCCCAGTCTTCCTTGTAATCAGCTTCAGAAAAAGAGCAGTTTCTCTCTGTGCGAAACGTCTGCCGTAAAGCTGGTGCCATTCTAGGACATCTTGTTACATCTGATTGTGCCTCAAATGTCATCTTATTTTTATCTCTTTAGTCTGGGCCAGAATGAACACTGATGAGCTATTTCTTGCGTGATTTAAGTTCTTGGAGCACAGCTGATAAGAGCTGCAACAGTCATGCGATGTACGACTTGTTACAGCTCTCTGCTGGAGTGGGTTTTACCACGCTCTGGCTACAAACTATAGTGGGAGCAGATAAGCCTGTGCTGAAAGGTTTTGAGAAATCCTACTGAGAGCGTTTTTTGAGAGCTGTAGGACCTTTTTGAAGATATATGTGGAGATCCAATGTGAGGCACGGAGTGAGAGCCCTAAGGCAAAGAAACTGCTCTACTGTTCATTTGCTTAAAATTACTTTGGTGCTTAAGTCACTTCTGAGCCAAAAACAACCAGATATTAGACCTCAGTGAACTTGTGAATGTCAGAAGTATTTTGGGAAATTTTGGAATCCTTCATCATAACCACATATTTGGCCAAGATATGATGTGTGGCCCCAGTTCAAAGAAACTGTAAATACTGCCATTTATCCAAAGTATTATTCCCTCGCTATGTCTAAACTTCAAAGAAAAGCAGTTTCTTAATAGTTTGTATGATGCTATAAATAATATTTTTCTTTATTGCATAGTGAGAAAAGAAAAGCATTTCATGAGTCATACTTATTGTGGGGTCTGCAGACAAAGCTCTCAAGGCTTTATGAGTTTCCACAATGTGCAAAAGGCTTAAGATTCAACAGTCTGGCTTCTTCCAACAATAAATTAAAGGCAGATTGTTAAAATACTTTGACATGAGTAGCTGAACCTACTTCAAGACACACCTTGATGACTGAGCTGCTCTCAGATTCAAGCAGAGGAAAGGAACTATATGCAAAACCTCCTTACAGGTCAGATGAAGGAAAATTTTTGTCCAGAAATTCCTTGGGTTTGGTTGGTGTTATCAGTCAATAGGGTGGAAGTAATATGTTTACTGAATGCTGTAATGCATAACTGTGAGGATTGTTTGGGTTTTTTTTAATTACTTACTTGAAATGAAACCTGCTTAAGAGAAGTGACACTTAGCCATGATTTACTGCAAGTAACACAAATCCTGTCCTGTTACAACTCTATTCCTGTTGAAGTCCATTGCAACAGAGAGAAAAAATTGATCCTCCTTATTATAATTTGAAACTTTGAGCCAAATTGCCAGATAAGCTGTGTCAATACCATTTCGATCAAATATCATATCTCTAAATGTGGAAATTCCTATCAGACTGTATCTTCTGTAAAACAACAAAAGCAAAACCTGATAAGACAGCGGTTTTCCAGGTGTGCAATTCCTTGTCCACAGTATTATCTTCTGCAACTAAATACCTTTGAGTGACCCAAGTGCTGCAGTTTTTTACTGTTCTGTGCAAGTATCAAAAGATGTGAAGTTCAGTGGGTGCATCTAGATGTTTAACCAGGTCTTCCTTAGCTAGAAGGGTAGTGGCAGTATCCTTCCTTTTGTCTGAACAACAGCTGAAATAATAAACCACGCTCTGTGACTGGACATGGCTTTATCTTCAATACCTCTCTGACAGGAGAGAGAAGCAATCAGAGCCATGGTAAGGACAGGATCACCAAGAAGTGATTGAATTTGAATTCAATTCTTCTTTGAAGACATTTTCTGTGTCTTCAGATATGTCATCCAGAAATATCCATTTTGCAATGGCTCTGAGGAAAGCGTGTGATACCCTGGACCACACTGAATGATCTTCTGACCGACCAAATCTATTCCATAACATTGTCAAAGAGTCCAGTAAATACATCTGGGAAGCATTTCCATTTGTGTGCAAAAGCAAATATAACTGACCCTTTAGTACACTTCTGCAGACAGTCACGTCTATGAACTTTGCATCTGCAGAGATTGCACTCAGATTGCCTCAGATGCTGTGCCCAAACTTAGAAGGCTGAAATGAAACTTTTAAGTTTAACTTTTTTTTCACCCTTTTGGGAATGAGATCCTCTTGAAAAGCTTTGGTTTGTTGATCTATCCCCAGCTTTGGAGAACTTTCTTGTCCCCACTATGCTTCCAGTCTCTGCTTTTCTAACATGTAATAGTCTCTCATTCCTTTCAATTTGTAGACTAGAGAGAACAATGCTATATTACTGTAGAATATTTTTTAACTTTGTTTTTCAGGAGATTTTTACAGGTGAAAATACTATAAAACTAGTAATTGGTCCTATTCAGTAAGGAAATGGAACATTTAAGATTTCTAGATGAGACCACTGAGATGAGGGATTGTGCTGCCAATATTTGAGTAACTATTAAAACACAGTAAACACTGTGAGAATGGATTGGTGCAAGTGATAGTAACTGCAGTATTTCAGATGCTCAGTACCTGCAAGTCAACAGCTTTTGTGCCTTCTCCCTCTCTGCTTGCCTCTTTGCAGCATTTGCAGTCGTTTTTTTTAGGACTTTGTGAAGACTTTTCCTGTTATGTTCTTTTTACTGTCTCTTAAGTATGATTTTGCTCTATGTACTTGATGAATGTTAAACGAACTGTAGGGAAATACTGGATTACTTGGGAAATCAGCTCTTAGGGTTGTTTTGTTTAACTGTACAGTTAAGTCCATGAAACAGCAAGATATTCAAGCACAGACCTCTTCAATGCAGAGCTTTTTTACAAATAGTAAATGACTGCTTCAGTGGTATCTCACCTAACACACAAATGTCAATATTTATAGGGGGTTTTCAGTGTGTCAGGGGGTACTTAATAGCATTTCCATGCAGGGGATCATGATTTTCCACCATCAAGAAATCTAAAGCCTTTTATTGACATGGGGTAAAGATACTGGCAGCAATTAAAACCAATGCTAGAACAGTAAACAAAGGTTGATTTTGTATATTTGTCACAGGCATTCATCCAAACTAAGCTGTTTCAACTTGAACATGCAGGTTGGAATAGCTGAGCACAGACACAGAGGTGCTACTTAAGGACAAGATGAAGTAGTGAATAAGTTAGTTTTCAGCCTCTGGCCTTCTCTAAGAGATCCACTTGTCTCTTTGGAAACCACTGTAAAAATTCAGATTAACCTCAGTAGAAGATGAAAATAAATATTAGCATGCTGTTAATAACCAGTGTGATCCCTGTGGACCAGCTTCCACTATATTTTCCCTAACTAGTGTCCCAGTGTATCCAATGCAAGTTTAGCTTCAATAAGAATAATTAGTAGGGAAAGCTGGGTCTCATCACTGTACTGCTGGTCCATGAGTGTAGGACTCTATTCTCTTTTGCTCCTTAGGAGACTAAATCTCCATGACTTTGAAAACTTCTGTGTTTTCAGTCTTGCTACCAACATTTTTTCTGATAGTCTCAGTTGAACAGACATACTTGTAAAGGTAAAACCAGCTTAAACCAATCTAATTCCACCTGGGAATTTTTTAGGAGTTTCTCTTTGTCCTAACCCTCTCCTTCTGAGAAGTTCTTTTAGGATCTCACTGTTCTACGAGTCAGGTAGTTTTCTCCTATCTCCAAATTCAGCCTGTCCCCAGGCCACAGATGGTCTTTTGGTCTTAACTTGTAGAAATCTATGCAGGAAGTGCTCACTGTTTCTCTCAATGTTTCTTTCTTTTGTTTCTTGTTTGGCTTTTTATAGTAAACAAGGAAGCCTTTCCCTCAAGAGGCTGATTTTGGCCTTTTTATTCATGTTCAGCTAGTAACTTGTGTTCCTATGCTTTGCACTAAATCCTTTGTGCAGAAAATCTGAAAAAAAGTCAACTTTCTTCTTCCTGTGCAGAACAGTCTTTTGTGATCCATGAAGGGAAAATAAGAATTGTTTTAAATTTACCTGTTAAATTCACCTGAATATTTTTCAAATATAAAATACATACAGTGGTGGGACATCCTGGAATCTTGAATTTTCAAGTTTAAAACTGATAGATGTTAAATGACCAATAATTTGTCAATATAATCTCCTAACTAAGTCTGAAGGATTAGTGATGATCTCTTTGCTAAACGTATCTTCTACATTGTAGGATATTTATCAATTAGCTTGTTTATTGGAGATTTTTGGTCAGTGGTTCTTTTAAGACAGGGCTGCTGAGACTGTCAGTTCTGCTGACTTACAATAGTTTTAGCACTTTGGAATTTATGACTTCAGAAATGAATGCCGTGGGTTCTATTGACGATTAATAACTAAAAAATTATTTCTGGGGGACAAAACAGGGACTGTTTCCTTTTCACTGAAACTAACGTGTCATGGGTTTGTGCAAAATGCAGTTTTTCATTTGTCTTGGTCACACAACATACCAGCTGATGATAAAGAAAGTCGGAAAAAAACCCTCCTCTATAGGTTTCAGATTTCATATTATTTACATGAAACTATTGTGAAAGTTAATCCTGTAGCACAGCAGAAAGGGTTGTATTACAAAGTATTTTCTCAGACAGAACACTGTTTCTAACCTAACTGTATGATGAGGTCAAATAGACCTTTCAGTTGGTTGAGATATTTTTGTTTCTTGCTTGGAGGAGAGCAGAGGGAGGAGGAGATGCACAGGAGAACTAAGACAAGAATTTTTCAGTGTATTTAAGGAGATCAGTCATAGAAATCACGTGTGTATCGAGCACATCTGGTCCTGGTCTTCTAGTTTTAAGATGAGGATAAAATATTGAATAACTAGAGTCAGAAAAGAGCAAAGGCAAAAGAAGCCAAATCCATTGTCAGCAAGTATGTTTCCAAATAAAGAATAGTTTAATTATCTTTCCTTGTTAAGCCTGTTTTCTAGAATTTAAAAATAGCCAAGAGCACTCTTTAATCAACACTGCAAATTATGATCTGGCAGTGACCCTGTGTCGAGCATCCTGCAGGTCTGTGCTGTCTGGGTGGTCACAGTGGGGACAGATTTATGAGTTTTCCTGAATGCCTCCTGGACAGCTGGGAAGGAGGCCACTGTTCTTTTTTGGCATATAAATGAATGCCAGTTGTGGGTAGTGTTGCCTAAAAAGACCTCAGAGAAAAAGACTCTGGGCCAATTTAGTGTATAAGATAAGATAAAGAGAGCAGGTCCTTTAGTGAGGCCAGAGGAATACACACCCTGCATGCCTGCCCAGGTAGTGGCTCTGGGATGTCATAATAAGGTCCATCCAATCCCAGATCTGTCCATCCCCAGTTCTGCCCTGTTCTGCCCCCTTCCACACCCCTTCAGGAATTGGGTCTGGGGGCGTTTGGGACCCCTTCTTCCTCATCATCTTCTTCAAAGCAGGTACAGTCCTTGGAGCTTCTCCAGAGTTCTGGGCTTGAAGGTTACTCTGTCTGCGCGATATCTCCTGGTCCAGGCCTAGAGTGAGATGTTCTTAAACAGGTGTTTTTCTACAATTCTACCTTGAAAAGAAGGCTAAACACACTAGAGGAATTTAGAGGGATTGATAAAGGGTAAGGGATATATTACAGCTACATTAAAATCTACATTTACTACACAACTACTTCTAAAATCTATAGAAGTTAAAAAATCCAAAATAAAGCTCTGAGGCATCAATAGTGGCAAAACTGAAAGTTGGGTCTTGCCCTTTACCTCCAGACAACTACCTCCAATAAAAAATAAAAAGGTGGGATTTATCTCACCCACTTCAGATATATAGGTGTAGTTACTGAGCACAAACTGAGTGCAGAGAAATAAGTTTATCTGGAGTGTTGTTTGCTTGCTGTTTTAAACATCTTTCCATTTAAAGCTGAGTAAACAACTTTGAAATGTCCATTTCTCTTCACCAAACTTAAAAGAAAGTTTGGCAGCAAGTCTAAACATAGAATTTTTTTATTTATAAGTATGAAGTTGGGCAAAAGTTCCTCCCCCTCAAAAGAGGCTGTTTATAGAGCCTCCTTTCTGCTTATTCTGTTCATTAGAGCTCAGGTAGAGATGCTAATTTTGCAGCACTTAATTAAGATACAAAAGAGGCCCTTATGTCATCTGGGGAGCTGCAGTGGTGCCAGGTAAATCAAATTCTCCCACCCCAAGGGCTTCCTGGGGATCCCACACTCAGGGGTGACAGAAGGCCAGAGTGCAAACCTTTAGCTCCTCTCTCTCCTCATGTCTAATATATGGGGAATTACCACAATGTATCAACTTTGCTTTATTAAAGTATTTCAAACCAATGTTTACCAAACTCTCAGATTTAGACCATGATGGTCTAAAAGGTGCTGTCCACCAGTGCTTCTGGGATAAAACTGCCTAGTGATTCACAAGAATTTTAAAGAGTTGCTGGTGGATCTAAAAGAATTCTGCCTACCCATTTAAATTACGTATGTGATGATTTTTCAGTGCTCCTCCTGTTTATACTATCCTTAAACTTTTTTATAAAATTAAATGACCTGTTGTTCCTCCAGCTGTTTAAAAAGAAAGAAACAATTTCTTGCTGCAGGCATTAACTTATTTATGTAATTGGGCCAAATCTTAATTGTATGTATATCTGTATCATTCTACTAATTTCAGTGAGAAAGAACTCACTAGAACTGGTAACTGAACAGAAATTCTGCTGCTTAAAAGAACAATAGAAATGTCATTATATGTGTTTATAATGTCCTCTAAAACAGAATAAGAAATTTAATGAGAAAATGTCTGGAGGAAGGAAAATATTGCATTATCTCTGCATATTGTCATCTTCAAAAACTACTCTGAAGGAAGAATGAGTCATTTTGGAAAACAGAGAAGGTAATGAAATATCCATGAAAGGTCTGAAAACTGAATGGTTACAGTGTCTACTATAAATAGATTTTCATAAGCTAAATAAGGGATTTCAGTAAAATATCCAGGTGCTGACTTGGACAAGTCATTAAATGTGTTGGGAGGTGGGGTTGCCTGAGTTTCATATTCTCGTGGAATAATTAAGAATTCTCAAGTCACAACAAGTATTACAGTGTGGTCCTTATTTTGGCTACCAGTGCTCCTCCTGTATCTCTTCTTTCTCATGTTATCTTGTTTGTTACTTCTTGTGCATTGCAGAGTAATAGTAAATGTCTGCAACTATTGTACCTTGATGCTTGATTAAAGCAAATGAAAATGGAGGGGGAGAAATTTGTGCAGTCAGAAGAAAGCTTTTATAGTCAGGTAAAATATTATCAAGAAGAGAAAAAGTAATCCCTATGAAATGACTCTATTTCTAAAAAGAGGAACAGCTTATTTATTAGACTCTGGGCTGGTTCTTCTCAGACGAGCTGGTCATGGAGCTCATCAGTCATTTCTACCAACATCACAGCACCAGGAGTTGTGGAAAGAAATGCTCAATCACAAGTGTTCTGATCTTTCCCTGTGACTCTGTGCCAGTAACCCTGATCTTAGGTTTTTCTTCAGCCCTGGTCTTTCTAGCTCTGACATGCAGTGAGAGGGACACTTGTAAGCACTGATGAGGAGAACAGTAGCGTCCCACTCACATGAGTATTAGTTACTGCACGAAGAGCTTTATGGGACTGTAAAGTGTGATTCCTTTTCGCCCCCTCAACTTCACAAGTTCTCATATTTCTTGTCCTCTGTTCTTCCATACTATTTATAACCTATAGCTACGCAGATCGCCCTCACTGTAGCTCCCCTGCTAGTTTAGAAGAATGTTATTGTTGCCTTTCTGTCTAAAATTACTCTAGCGTGCTTTATTTTCTCAGTTTCCTCTTATTCTTCTCCCTCAGATCATTGTTCTTGATGTTCTTTCTAAAATTATTGTATTGATTTCCTGTCTCTCTCCTTGTCTTTTTATTATTAAGATGATAAATGTTTAAAGATAGCCTGTCATTTATTACATATATCACATCTCTCTTTTATCTTAGAAGAAAATTGCTACCCTGAATTTAAGAGCTGAATCACAAGTGTAATGGCTAGAAGAGCCATCAAACACCTCAGTGTTCTTTGTTTCATTACTTCATTTCCAGGTTGCTGGTAAAAAAGGACTATTTGTATTCCAGGAACAGTGATATGATGGTTTGCACTTAAATCTCTGAAACTGCCACTGAGCATCTGTCAAAACAACTTCTAAAAAGAAGCTGCTGTAACAAAGATATCAATCTTACTTAATTTTACATTAAGTGCAAAGCCTAAAAGTTTCAGGTCCATAACTTTGCTGCTTCTTTACCATTCAAGCTTCAGAGTCAAATGATCCCACGTCAAAAGTCAACTGCAACTTGTAGGCTGCTACTGCTTTGGGTTTAAAGGCTTTAAACATATGAAACCGAAGTGGTGTTTTCCTATCTGGAACCCTAAGCCAGACTAGGTTCCTTTGATCTGGTAAACTGTTACGTGTTTTGATTTAAAAGGGAATATTTTGCACTTTTACTCACTTAGAGCCAAGTCTTTGTAGGTGTGAGCTCACATACCTGCTGGGGGAGCCTCCTGTCTCAAGGGGCAGTGCCCTCACTGCAATGTATAAACCTGGTCTTTGATTCAAACTTAATATCTCACATCTGCGCTTCTGCTGATGTGCTGCAGTCAGATTGCTCTGGAAAAAGGCAGCTAAGGCTTGTCCTGCAGAATTACGTGGTCCTTGGGGGCAAAGGAGGGGAAAAGGGGCACATGAGCACCTGAAAACCCACATGAATCTAGGGAGACAGGGAGAAATGGAGCTATGGAATAGAAAACTGGGCGAGGGGTATGGACCCACAAGAGCAGGGAAAGGTGGACACTGCTCCTTGTGTGCTTGCTCAGAAACATCAGGAGGTTGGTATTCCAAGTCTCCTGCTGGAGGCAGAGGCTGGAGTGCCCACACCCTGTGTCTGAAGGGCAGCGTGGGCAGTGCTGATCTTCAGTGCAGCTGTGCCACCGCTTGAGGATGTCATCTAAAGAGTCAAAACAAAAGATAGTCCAGCCCACATGTTGGAACATGGCTGGATACCATCAACTTGAGTGGAATTTCACTCCAGTGATGAGTGAAATGGAGTACTCCATCATGGAGTACTATATTTGGAAAGATAAACATAAATGTATGCTTATATCCTGAATGCAAGTTATTCAAGTTAGATAAGACAGGAGAAAGTAAATATAAGTAATGCTATAGACCAGGGTGCCAGCTGACCTTGTGTTTTCTCAGCTCACTTCTCAGTATTTGTTCTGCTGAAAGGAATACTTGAGTGTTTCTTTGTAATGTTTGTGAAAGGATTGATGTGTTCATCTTTGTGCTTTTCTGTCTCAGCACTGCAAACAAGATAATGAGTGATTAATGTACTCTGGTAACTCCATGGGCACGCTGAGCGACACGCCAGCTGCTCCCGCTGAAGCCCAGGGGTGAGTACAGCAAGAGGAAGATGCATAATGTGTACAGTGTGTAAAAGGATCTGTGGGGAGGTGAGGATGTTTACTCAGCCATAAAGAGAACAGGTTTGTGAGTGTGTGTGTGACTCCATAGAAAACCCAATATCCTGTTTATCAAAGGAAGTCTCTTGTTTTTTCATGGAACGAGTCGCCCTTGCATTTGCATCTTGGGACAAGAGAAATAAGGAGAAAAAGTAAAAATAGCTGCAGTATCAAACCTTCTTCCTGAACCAACCACCCCCATGGAGGGTGGTTGAAAGGCTCGGCTCAGGCAGAGAAGTGTAATTGTGTGGTCAGCTCCCAGGTGGGAGCCCTGCTTTATCTCTGAACAATAGAATAATTTCCATCTGCTTGGTTGGAGCAGAAACCCTCTCTGTTTCTGACAATACTTGGCATAGCGTTGACTCTAAAACTGTGATTTTCCATTGTTTTTTTGACCCTCGGATGACTTTTTTCAGGGACAAAAGCTTACTATCTGCATGTTTTGTGTTCAGTGTCACTGGCTTTTCTGCTGCATTGTCATTAGGAGAAGGAAAGTGCAAGACAGTGGCTGTATGTAGACAACTTCACTCATTTCTAGTAAGGTCTTGCTGAGTGGCACCAGAGGGTGATGGCCTGGCCACTGGAGATGTGAGCTGTAGAGTTAGTGATTTCCAGATCCCTATTAGAGATGGAAACCTCTGCCCCTTTAAGGCTTGTGAAAGTCATCTCAGGCTCCCAAGACTCAAAGAGCGTTTTTTCCATCTTGTGCATAATGACAGACAATAAATATTGCATTAGGCCCCATCAGGGCTGTAGCAACAGCAACGCAGAGGCTGTGATGCACATGCACAGCCTTGCAAATGGTTTTATTCATGATGCTCAAGATGGAATAAAGCCACGTTCCTTCTAGCTCAAGAGAGTAAGGAGAGGAAATTCAGATGCTGGCTGACTATCCCAGTGGCTCCCTTGTGTCACAAGCGATGGGAGGGTTTTTGGGGGGAAGGACCGATGGGGAGAGCAGGCCCAGGCTCCAGCTGGGGGTCAGCAACTGTGGGAAGGAAGGAAGAGCTGAAGCTGCCTCATCAGGCTTCTCAAAGAAGAAAAAGCATGTGACTTTGCAGAAAGAGAATATCTAAGATATTTAAGTTAGATTAAGTTAAATTAAGGGAAACCAAAAACCTCATGATTTTATTAGTTTTAGGCATGTGTTACTATCCCCTGTGGTGAGCCTGATAGCTTTCTTTGCCAAAGAATGGCTATAATAAAGTATCCTTAAAAACAAACCAAACATTTTTATATATGCTGCAAAGCTGTTCTAGCAAAATGCAACCCCTGACTGAACTTTGAAATGTCTGCTTCTAGAAATACAAGCCAATGCCTTTATATAGCAGCATACTGACAAGGATAATTTATGTATTCCACAGTATAGAAAATCCTGGAGGCAGTGTTATTTTTAGCTGTGTAACCTTTAAGTATATTCATCTATATACTGGTAAATTGGATTTTAACAGGTGAATGACTTAATACAGCAAGGCAGATGAATTACAGATGTAGACAATGTCTGCCCAAATCGCTATTTTTTCCTGGCTCTAAATTATTCATCTGGGATGGCCAGAAGCCAGCTATGGGGATTATTGATAAAAGTGAGTTAAGAATAGATTAGAACATTTCTCTTGTGCAGTATAATGTTTCTTTGTTGACTGCGTTATTTTCCATCTTCCATTAAGCGCTAAAAGCCAGGCTTTTTTAACCCAATTTTAAGCTATTCATGTTCTATACAAATAATAATATTATAAATGCTTGAGTTCCTCGTTTGTAGGGCAAGGGGTGTTCTTTTAAAAGACATAATATTGCTGTAAACAAGAAGACAAACATTTCAGCATTTTGCTTAGGCATGGATCTTCTGTAGAACTTTTCTTCTGAGAACTTGCCAGCTGTCAGAGCTGGGTGGCTGAAACGTGCAATACCTTTTAATTTTAGTTGGTGGTGCCAGTGCAGTTGGTATTCTCCTGTGAGTATTAAAGTTTTAGTCCAGCTGTGGTTTTGCATATTTTTTTCTTCTTCTCTGTCCCTTTTTTCACTATTGCTCTTTATTTTTAATAGAACTAGATTACTGAGAAGATTAAAGAAATCTTTGGCCTGCACCAAAAAATGAAGAGACAGAGTTACGTAAGGGGAATTAATTCAAAATGTGATAGTGGAAAAAAGCATCATTCCTTTTAAAGCATAAAATGAATGAGGTTTTATTCTACAATATGTGCAATAAATTCTAATAACTATGAAAAATAAATGAGGACTGTACAGTGGTGTAATAAATGTGAAGTGATTCTGTCTCTATGAAGATCATAAGGGTCATTTTTTTGCTACACTAACATAGTGCTTCATTGCCTCTGAGATTAATTTGGGTTCCCACCTGTCATACAGAGGTTATAACTGAAATCAAGAAAAAAAAACAGAAAGATAAAAAAAAAATCATTTATGAGTTAAAAAAAAAAAGATACAGAAACAAGTCCAAAATCCTGATGTTTCTTTTGGATTGGAATTGGAGTATTTTAGTCCTTGGTCCTTGAATAGCTGTAAAGGAGTGGTAAAACCATTAACAGAATAATTCTGGTGCTCTGTACCAGAAATATGGAGAAAGGACAGCAGGCAATTCCTATGTAAACACTAGAGGTTAAAGATTCAGCTCTTAACTCTGACCTTGCCTTTTTGTGTCATCAGCATATATTTCCTTGGTCTTTTTTCCCCAGTAATGAGAATAATGTTTTCTCTTACATATTGTCAGAATTACTTTACTTATTTCCATGAATGCTTTTTTCAATCCCAAGATGAACATTTTCCTGTGTGTAGTACATGTTTCCATGTGACTTCTAACTGTAAGGTAACTGTAAAACAAACTACAATTCATCAGCCTTGCTGGTAATACAAGAGAAAACATCATCCCAAACATCTTTCCTGGCAGTCTTCCTGCTTCTGACCTTTCTCCAGCTCTGGGTTTCTGATCTATTGGATATGATGAGTAACTTGGTAACACGAGTAAGAGTTTGCCTTTAGATGAATGGAAGCTGAGGTACAGGTTGCATATACGACAATACTGTTTTTAAAATGTCCAGCTGCCTTATTTTTATCACTCCTGGCTTTGTATTAGTGTGTAACTGGGACAACTGGAAATACTGTAGTGATGTGAACTGTGGTGCTGGCTCTCAATGAAATGTCATTGCCATTGCAGTCATTATTTAAATGGCCTTCTAGAAAAAGAGATTTAGGTAAGAAATAGCAAACTGGGAAATGGAATTTGAATGACAACATGATCTAACATGCACAGTGTTTACAGAGGTGGTGCAATAAATTACCCGAGTTAACATTTACAATCACAGAAAGAGAAGAAAGCTGAAAGTAGAAGATAGCTCCAGTGCAGTTTAAAGCTGATACTGTCTCTCAGATGATTTTTTTCCCTATTTGGTAATGTGCTAACTTATGATACAGAATCGTATCATTGAACATTTGAGGTTTTTAAAATTACTGTTGTTATTCCACTAAGTCTCACTATTTCTTATATTCCCTTGCTGTTCTTCATGTTCCAGCCAGGGTGTATCTTGGTGGCCAGGATGACATTTATCAGGTGTTCAGTGTTGTTTACTATGGCAGTCTTGCCAATGCAATAACTTGTTTTGCTGCTCTTTCTCCTTCCCTGCCCTACCTCTTCCTTCCTCTGCCCTTTTTTCTGCTCACACTTGGCTGTGAAGTCCTGCCCCATCCTTGAACTAGTTGTGAACCATAACTGAGCTAATTTATGTTTCTAACAAAATGAGCTAAAACAGAAGGGCCTGACAAGTGCCAGACCCAGCTGAACAAGCTGGCTGAGAGTAGGGGGAGGGCTGGAAAATAATGGTCTATGCAGAGGGGTTCTTCAGTTCTGTCACGAGAGACAAGCCTTACTGGCATTGTGGCTGTTTGCTTTTGTTTGCTAACAGATTATAGAGGAATTTTTGAGGGATACATTCCGTGCAGGTAGCTCAGGGGGGAGCTGAGGTGTGAGTTCTGGGGGGCAGGAGCCTGAGGAAAGAGGCCATGAACTGCTGACCCTTTTCATGACAAAGGGCATGGGGACCTGGGGCACAGCCAGGTGAGGGACACTCAGAGACACAGCAGGAGCTGATGGCCCCAGACTCTACTGCACTTAGACTGTGAGGGTATAAAAGCCACGGGGTTCCTTTGTTCGGGGTCCTTCCTCAGAGGCACCACCTGGAGTTGTTAATTTCTTAATTAGTTTTTGCACCAAAATTAAATTATTTTCAGGATTGAGACATCTGAGGAGACTCTGCTCTGGGAAACCTGGGGCCGAGCTGGTGAGGAAACCTGGTCTGACTGTGAGTGTGGGGGGATGTAGCTCCGGAGGGGCTTCGGTCCCAGCTCAGGTGGTCCAGATGTGACTGCCAAAGTGGCTCTTGGATGGTTGGATGGGGAAGCTTCCTAAACAATATAGAAACACTTGCCCAAAATGCATCAGTTTGTTGAAAATGTGTGGTTTAAAGAGTACGTGTCAGAAGGAGCGCAGCCAGAACCAGGACAAGCCCTGAGGGGCACAGTGGGAAGCATTTCCCCCATTAACCTTGGCACTGTTGTTCCTTGCCACTGTTGTTTCCTTTCTGCCAGTATGAAAAGTTTTCTCTTCCTGGACTTTGCATTGTGTTTCCCTGAAAGGTTTCAGTCTCCCTCATGGAAATTATGCAAATATCTGTGTGCGCACATAAAAAAACTGACAATGGCACAAAAAGTACAGGACTAAAATAGGTTTTGCTTATAAAAAAAAAAGAATCTATGTAGCAATGGGAGACCTAATTTCCCTTTTACATATTTAAATTATTAGGAGATAATTCTGTTCATGAGTCTGCCAAAGTCTCATTCAGAAAATGAACTATAAATTTTAAGAAGTGGATGCACAAATTTAGTGACAATGATGAAGTAAAAAACCCTGGCATCTAGAAGCA